TTGCTGGATTGTGATAAGAAAAAATAAAAATTATTTTAAAAGAGTAAGGTATAATAAATAAATACTAAATATGTCATTCTAAATTTAATCTTTTTATTTATTTGTCTGTATCTATCTAGATGTTGCATAATACAATTTGGAAAGTACTTACAAGAAGTAAGATTTCAGAACTTTTTCACAATACACTAAAAATATCACTTAAATTTCACTTTGGTATAGAGCTGGTTTGCTGGCATGAGAAGAACAGGAACAGGTGGTTTTACTAATTTTTGTGTGATCAGTGTTATTTTTAAAATAAACTTAATGAAAATAATTATAATTAAATCTTGTTAAAATGATCATAGAGATTTGTTTCTCAGTCTAATACTTAAATCAAGCATTAATGGTTCTTATTTGGCAGCTTCCCTTTTTTAAGAGTCATTGTTGTCTTCTTACAACCATTTGGTAATTATTATTTTATTTTAAATGAAAAATGAAAACCTTGCAGAACATAAAATACAGTAAATATAAAATAAATCCTAGGTTTTCCATTTTTTATAAGGCCTCAAACAACCTTTAAAAATAACCAATAAAAAGTTCAAAACCAACAATAGGATCAGAYGTTCTTTTTTTGCTCTTTTGTTCTCCGTATAAAAGAGGTGTGAGACAATGGTGTTAAAGCAGCTAATCATAATACAGATTGTTGCAGCGGGACAGAATTATTTCTCCTCGGTATTGTTTGCTTTCCCGAGCAGCTGGGTGGGATACGGCAAAGTATGTTAGTACTCTAATCCSGTGCTCGTGCCGTTGCTCTGCCTTGTGTTAATTCTAGCAAAAGCAAGAAAATGTTGGTGCCACAAAGTCTCAGTGYTTCTTAATTTGTGGCCCATTAACATAGTTAGAAATCCGTCTGTGCTTTTAAATATTGTGAGAAACTGTCTTCTCTTTGTGACGACAGGTAAAACGTGTGTATGATGTATCAGTCAGTATGTAAAATATTGAAACAAACAGCACAWTTATTCAGAAAGAAAAGCAACCTGTCACTACATTTTTGTGAACTGTAAATGTAACTTATTTAATAAAGAATAATTAGTTTTTTACAGATCTATTTTGTTTTAAAATTATTGAGATTTTTGAAAATAATATTTAATGAAAAGGTTATGAATAATAAACATCTTACCTGTTGTAGATAGCGCTTTAAATACCTTAGTTTGGAAAAACAGATCTTAAACCTGACTAGACTGATGAGCAAATGGCTAGTCTGAGCAAGGTCAAGACCACAATCAATCAATGCATCATAAAACAACYTATTTAAAAAATATATAGGAGTTTTTGTGAACTCTATTTCAAAAATCTTTCATTGCTGATATTCTAAGCGCTAAAGGCAAGCGCTAATAGCAGCAGAAGTAGTTACCTGTAGCATTTCTGCTGCAGCATTGAGTACTTCCTGCAAGACTATCATAATAATGCTGATTACATAATCATGTAATGTGAAACTGACAGTAATGTAAAAGGTTCATAACATAACATTTGTATGATTTGCTTGATTCCTATTAGCCTAGCCCTTAGCTCAGTAATCCAAACTTAGACTTTGTCTTTCCAAACTGTTTTAATACCAGATTAGGATTAATAGCATTTATTATCAGTAGCATTACTTTTAACAAAACATTTATTTCTTCTTTATACCAAGTTCACACAGACACCATACCACTATTATGAATGATTCTTAGCGGGCCATGGAGTATTTTACAAAGAAAAGTTAATCTGTTTGTGATGTATTAGTTTAAAGGTTTGTTTTAGATAATCCTTCATTGGCCATGTTTTACATGGTGGTTGCATATAACTGTTATGTTGTACAGTTATAGTTTGAAGATTTTTAAAGTTTTTCTTTTAACTTCAGCTGCTATTTTCACTTAGTTTCTCTTCTGAATTTGACCATTTTGCTTGTTAAACCTCTTAACTAACCTTAGAACTATTCATGTACTGACAGGAACCCAAACTTACAGCCAGTGTTGTGCTTGCAGAACCCACCACCCAAAGAAGCAGAGTTCTTTAGGCACATTTTGCCAGTAGCAAACTCACACACACACAATTTGCTTCAGTATGTTTTAACTAAATCCATAAAACGATAACATAGTTTGACACATAAAATGTATTTTTGACACCAACAAGGTGATTCCCAAAGAGACGTTTTAGCTCTTCTCAGTATTTTTTTGTGTGTGTTTTAAAGACATGACTTTCAGAAACGGTTCATCTGTTCTACACTTCTTTTGTCTTCATTCACTTTCTTCATTTTCAAGCACAAAAGTAAAGAGAAAAAGCAGCCAAAGTCCAAAGAAAAGTTTGACTAGATCTTTAGATGGTGCAGCTTCAAAAAAAGGCCATGTACTGTAACAGCGTATGAAGAAATTGTGGATTGTTTAAAACTTTTGCACAGTGCACTGTCATTCACAATTGCAAATTTTCAAGATATTTCTGTGGCATCTGCACTGACTCACTGGGTTTTCSTTCGAAAGCATTCACTTGAAGTTATCTGGTGACTGAATTGGCTGCAGATGTGAGCGTTTAGTTGAGTTGAGTTGAAGTATGGGGTTTACCTCAAGATRTCCACTCTGCTGGTATGCAAAGAAAAGGGGTCCAGACCACTTTKMAAAGTGGTCTGAGGAAAAGCACTGAAAAAGCAGATAAATAGAAAAAAGCTAAATATTTACAAAAGTTCAGGTATGTATTTACATTTTGCATTTCCTGTATTTAGCAATCGGACAGCTAAAGACCATTTTACATTTTACTGAACAGCCTGAGACAGCTTGTACATCAACTGTTGACATCAAAACAAAATTTTTACAAAGGATCAGTGACAGTGCAAATTACAGTGCCAAATAAATAAATAAATAAATAAATAAATAAATAAATAAATAAATAAATAATCTAATTGGTTAGTGATAGGCAGACAAATTGCCTCCTACTCTTTTTTTCCCCCTCTGAATAATCCCTTACCATACTCAGGGTAATTTGTTAACTATGCTACACCAACAACAAATAAAGATTGTTCTGAGTCACTCATACAAAAAATAAATAAAAAATAAAAAATAAAAAATAAAAAAAAACAAGAAGCTTGCTTTGAATTAAAAGCGAAACAAATATTAGTGCGTGCTTGTTTGCAATCCTGCCTTGTCAGGATGTGATAGTTTCTGTTGTGAATGCCCCGCAGCGAGAACTCCACATTCTGATGTGATTAGATGCCCTGTGTGAGAAAATGTGCTCGGATAAGTTTTAGAACTTAAAATTTCCAATTTACATAAGTTGCTGATTATGCTGAGTGAACTAAAAATATTTCCACTCAGAGATGCTTTTCTTGCTAACGTACTTAATGTGTTTCCATCAGAACTAACTGTGCAGTTCGCTGCTTCCAATTCAGATACAGTCAACAATCTGACTTGCATTCATGATAGCTCAGTCAAAAATATTTGACTGTGGAAAGATCAAATACAATAAGTACAATGACAACTTATTGAATAAGCAGCTGATCTTTTAATTGATTTTAGTCTTGAATGACAAAGTCTTTAAAAACATTTCTTCTTTTTAATATCCTTTAAATACAAAAAGTGAAAGAAAGCAGCTTTATATTTAGGAAACTTCGCATAAAATAAAGGTTTTTACCCATTTTGTTGGACATTTTCTTTTGAATTTGGCTCRGCCAAAGTTATACAGGAAGTGACATCAAAGAAGAACTCTTCAAGAAAATGRTCTTTTTTTAATTAAAACATTATTTGAACTCTGACTCTTCATCTCTTTATGRCAGTGACTCTAAATAATCTAACATCAGATTACTCTCAACAGTCTTTGTTGGTAGCCATTGTAACCATGCACCGTTTACATTCAGTCATTCCCCTTTGACATCACTTCCTGTTACTCTACAAGCCAATATCTCAACAACTGTTCATCTCAGCGGTGTGAACATTATTTTGCAATGTGTTATCAACATTATCTTTCTAAAAATTCATTATTTTTTATTACAAAAAAATGGATGTCACAAACACTTTAAATAAAGCCGTATGTAATTAAGCATGCTGTGAGCCGTGACGTTACCAAGCTTTCAAAGTTGAACATCTTTTTGAAATGACTGCATGCACAATATCTGATTCCTTTCAAAAAGACCAYATATCCCATCTCTACTGGTGACTTGTCAAGGGCTTACCTCTTGGCCAATGACCACTAGAGACTGACCCCACCTTCCTGTTTTTTTAGTTGAACAAAAACATGTATATAAATAGGTTAAAACAGTTTGGTTTATTACTAAACACAAAAACTGGCTTAAAACACTGCATTTGCATTTTTTTGTGTCTTTTGGTGGACCAATCTATTGATTTTCTTGTCTTCCTCTTTTTTCCAGATGTTTCTGGTAGCTTTGTCCTTTGCCTATTTTGCAAAGGCTCTGTCAGGGAGCTACATGAAGAGCACAATAACTCAGCTGGAGCGGCGCTTTGACATCCCCAGTTACCTAATAGGAGTCATTGAYGGGAGCTTTGAGATAGGTGAGTGGGCCTGCCAGTTACTGGGGCTGTTTTGTTACTTCTGTGCATGCCCTCCCTCCTTATTTTTTCCATCTTTTTAGTTAGAAAAAATATGAATGGGCCATTGAGACATTCAGATGCCAAATAAAAGATTCATCAGACTTCCAAGAAGAGGACAGAGGGCTGTGTTTTTTTGTGTGTGCATGCACGGTGAGTCATTTTGAACAAGGACGTATTAAACAAGACTCAAAGCGGCACACAAAGTTTGTAGGTTAGTTCACACATCATATTGTCTCCACGTTACAATTCAATTACTTTGTTTTCCTTCCTCTTAGTACTTCACTATTTATAGCAATAAGCTGACATTTCCCAGCTTTGAACTTGACTGATGAATCAGCTGGTTTTTCTCACATTTATCTTTTTTTTTTCTTCAAAGTTCACGCTCAACCTGTTTCCCCACAATGACATTTTATGCCCTGGGTTATCTCATGCATTTTTTTTTCTTTTTAAGGAGAAAATGCTTCTCGGATGTGAGACTTTTGTGGTGGTRTTGCAAGACACTCGCAGTCCAGTTCAAATTGAGCTGATCCCTCAGAGACCTGGAAATGGGCTGCTTCCATTTCACCCTATCCCAAACATTTTTCCTGGATGGAAAGCAAAACGTCTTCAGCTACACAATAAAAGTCCAACAGCTATATTTTTTTTTAATAATGTATTCAAATTGGTGTGAATTGACTACATTTGGATTTGAATTTAAATCAGAATTATGGATTTGGTTGGAATCATCATCATTATTATCATATCATTATCATTATTACTATTATTATTATTATTATTATTATTAGTAGTAGTAGTAGTAGTAGTAGTAGTAGTAGTAGTAGTAGTAGTAGTAGTAGTAGTAGCAGCAGCAGCAGTAGAAGTAGCAGCAGTAGAAGTAGCAGCAGTAGTAGTAGCAGTGGTAGTAATAGAAGTAGTAGTAATAGCAGTAGTAGTAGTGGTATAATCTTTTTTGTATCCCGCCTCATGAAAGATAACTTTAATTGTAATCTGGTGCTATAAACTAGATTGTATTAAGAAAACTCAGAAAAAAGTAGTAAGTGAACAGTGTATCCACAGCTGACCTTTTGTAGTCTTCCTCATTCAAGATGGCGGACACCAGATACATCTGTTTTGCTGATACAGTAACACCAGTTTCACTAGAAAGAATGCTTGTGACAACAACCTGCCTTTTGTTGGACGGTTTGGTTCACATGGAAGCCTCAACATTTAGGATTACAGAAAACCAACTCACAACATGATTGGTGTTCTGTTTGATTCTCACCACACACATTTTCTGTCATTAGAACTTGATTGGGTTGAACATGTCCAACAAGAACAGAAGGGAAGGAAGAGAAACACATGAAAAACTCTCAGCTACTCTGTCAGTCCCGGATAACTGAAAATCTACACCAGCAGACACAAATTGACACTATTAAATACCATGTTAATCTAAGGCAGCTCTGTAAATTGTGTTACATTTTTCAATTAGTTGCCTTCCCCATTTTAAACAGTACATAACATTACAAAGGACTAACTACCTTTCAGGAGGAATAAACCTCCATCTATCGGCTCAGCATGAGCGACCACCTGCCTAGACTGGCTGGAGACAAACAAAACGACTGGTCCAAGTTGTGGGAGAACACAGGTTAATGGCAGCAGCGCCTATAAACAATGAGAAGAGACAGACTAAAGACAGCAGCAGAGTGAGAAGGAAACCCGAGCCAGAGTTATTAAAAAGGAAAGCTTTAAAGGGGCAACATCATGTAAAATCAACTTTTTTGAGTTTTATGTCATGTTATAATGTTATACTCTCATAAAAAACATGCC